TCATTGAGGCCACTTGGAGGTTTATCTGTGTCCTCAGGATCACCTGGATTAGTGCTCCTGGTTCTTGTAGTCTGCAATTTTTCCCTCTGGAAATCCATTCCTACTCCCACACCATTCAAAGGATATCCTTGATTGAGAATTGTAAATTTAAAGACAGTTTAACAGAGTGACTTGAATGGAGAACGTAAGGCTCTCACGAGGGTGAGAAGAATGGAAAAAGAAACCAGGTTCAAACAGTAACAATTAGGTTACTCAGCTCTCGGGTTAATGGAGCCTACTTGGTATCTTAAACTTAGTCTCTGCCAAAGTCGCCTCTTTGGCTTCTTACATTTTGTGTCTCCCTCCAACTCTGAAGTTGCATGACCTCAGATTGTCCCCACCACTTGGGGCTAGGAGGTGAACAAATTGTGTCTTATTTGATACAGTGCCTGGAGAACAACAATCTAACAATCAAGAGTATATTCACTAGCAGAGACATAAAGCAGTTCATAAACTACTGAGGGATGGACAGAAAGGCCCTGAATATCCTCCAATGGGTCTTAACAGAATCTGATTGCCAGCTTGTTGATGGTCTGTGTTCAAGGAAAGGTCATACCCCATAATAGGCAAGTCATGGGTGTTGCTTAGGACCATCATAAGATGCATCTACGAATTAGTTACGCTCCAGAGAACAGGCTTGCTCTGTGTTTGGCACAGTAAATCTGCTCGTCAGGAAGACCATTCATCTTGTTTGTTCTGGAGGAATTTAAACAGGACCCAACAGTGTCCTTAAGATGTAGGTCAACCAAGTTGTTTCCTTCCTTTCTTCTCCTCCTTGCCCTCGAAACGAGGAGGAGGGGGAGAAAAGAAGGAAGAGTGGTAGGTGCTCAGCTGATGACTCTGAGAAATGCTTCTGAGAAGCACAAAAATGGGGACATCCTCGAATCGGTGGGACCCAGTGCTGGCTGAACTCCAGCATCTCCGCTTGAAAAGGATGCAGGAAGTCTTGGGATGATGCTGCTCGTTGGGATAGAGAAGCTGGGACATGGGGCAGTTCTCTGGTTTCCATAGTAGGCAATCTCTTCACTCCCGTCATCAGGTGTGAAAGGTCAGGTCCATAGGTGAAGGTCCAATTAAACTGATCTTTTGCTACTCATACCGATACAACCAACGCCAACCAGTTTAACACCTGCTTGGAATTTAGGTAAGAGTCCGTGGAATTCAAGAGAGGTTGGACTTAGCTCGTTTGTGGCTACATAGGGATTCTAGGCTGATCTCTCTTTTGACTCCACCTCCCAGGTTCTGCCACTCCTTTCTCCTACAAAAACATTGCTACTGAGGAGGAATGCTCAGGAATATGATTCAAGAACATCTAGAGCAGTGATCCCCAACCTTTTTTATGCCGCAGCCCGGTACCGGCATCAGCTGGGCGCCGCCATCTTTTTTTGATGAAAAAGTGCTTCCGGTGACCTCACCGGAAGCACTTTTTCATCAAAAAAGATGGCGGCGCCAGCGCTTCCGGTGAGCTTTTCCGGGTAGAAATGGCTTTCTACCCGGAAAAGCTCACCGGAAGCACTGGCGCCGCCATCTTTTTTTGATGAAAAAGTGCTTCCAGTGAGCTTTCTACCCGGAAAAGCTCACCGGAAGCACTTTTTCATCAAAAAAAGATGGCGCCCAGCAACCAGCGGCCCGGTAGGACTTGTTCCGCGGCCCGGTACCGGTCCGCGGACCGGTGGTTGGGGACCCCTGATCTAGAGGGTCCACAGGTTGTCTGACTTTGGTTCAAACTCTAAAACTCATGGTTGACTAGTAGCCCTTCTAACCTTCAGTAAACCCAGATACTTTCCTGGCCATCCCCATAGGGAGGAAGTCTTTTTGAACCCCTAAGGAATGTTGAAGCTGAATTATATGGCTGAATTGAATCCACCTTTAAATCCAATCGTCTTGAGTTCATCCAGGAATGTAAACCAGTCAAGATGCAAGTATTTTAGGGATTGTGTGTTGAGGGATACATCAACTTTTGCTATAGACTGAGCGATGTTTGGGTGCCTAGATGGCTTTTCATTCAAGAGTTTGGGAAGAGTTCCAGTAAATAGAGCAGTGACACAAAGGGGTCAGAGGTAGGGGAAATATACATGACAGAAATCAGAATAAACAGAATAACAGAATTGGAAGGGATTTTGTAGGTCATCTAGTCCAACCTCCCGCCCAAGCAGGAGACCCTACACCATTTCTGACAGATGACAGTCTAGTCTCTTCTTGAAAGCCTCCAGGGATGAAGCTCCCACAACTTCTGAAGGCAACTTCTGTTCCATTGGTTGATTGTTTTCACTGTCAGAAAATTTCTCCTTATTTCTAGATTGAATCTCTCCTTGATCACTCTCCATCCATTATTCCTTGTCCAGCCTTCAGGTGCCTTGGAAAATAGCTTGATCCCGTCCTCCTCTCTATGGCAGCCCCTCAAATATTGGTAGACTCCTATCCTGTCTCCCCTGGTCATTCTCTTCCCTAGACTAGCCATGCCCAGTTCCTGTAACCATTCTTCACATGTTTTAGCCTCCAGGCCCCTAATCATCCGGGTTGCTTTTCTCTGCGCTCTTTCTTAGAGTCTCAACATCTTTTTTATAGTGTGGTGACCAAAACCAAAAAGATAGTTCCCCAAAGGATTTGAGGAAGTTTGGGACAATGGCATTATTTAATGATATAAAATCCCTTTAGAAGTTAAATTGGAGTTTCCATATGTTCATCCACCTCAAAACGTCGGCTTGCTCTATCGTTGACTTGCCCCGATGGAAATCCGAGAGCATTCCAAGAGTTGGGGGGAAAAAATTGGGACTCCAAGGGCCACAAGCAACCTGGAGTTTAGGATGCCCATCCTTTGATAACCCCAGCAACGGTTCCCTGGCAACCTTTCTGGTCTCCTAGCAACAGGTTTGCTGAGACATACAGCCTCTTATCCTGGATCTTCTACTGTTCTGTCAGTAGTGATTGAATGGATTGCGCAAATGACTCAGTTGATGTCATCAATATTGATGTTGGGCCTTGTTGTTGTTGTTTTTTTAATTCCGAATAACTGTATCTTGTCAGCATACAAGAAAAACAAAAGACAAGGGAAACAAAGCAATCCAACCCAAAATAAGGGGGGAAACCAAGAATATAATAAAGCCAATTTATTTATTTACCAGCTCGATACCCGTGCTTCGCTATGAAACTATGTGGTTGGGCTTATTTTTTGGGGGGGGGAGAAAAATAAGGGGGGGAAAATTCTGCCTCTGCCTCCCAGCATCCATCGGTATTCATCTGGCTAGCGTCCTGTCAGTGTGTGAGAGAGTTGAGGGCTGTTTGGAAACTGAAAGAGTATTTGCTGTGGGAGCAAGAAGGAGACAGCAAGGAGCCATGGTGGGCGTGACCTAGTTGGCCTTCCCCACCATGGTGCAGGAGGCTGACTAGGCCACGCCCACCATAGCCACACCTGGCAGAGAACCTGTTGCTAAAATTTTTGAAGCCCACCCCTGCATTTTACCTCTATGGAGACTCTCAATCATGGTTGTCCCAAAGGTGCTTTCCCTCCCTAATCACTCCTTGTCTCTCGAATGCCTCACAGAGAGAAATTGCCCTCCCACTCTTGTCTTGGGCTGATTGGTGGAAGGTGTCATCTGCGGCTGTAATTTACATCCAAAGGACTGCCATTCCTTGCAACACAATTTTTTTTTTAAAAAAAAAAATGAGAAGTGGGAGACAGACATTATTTTTATCAGATGTTGAGATAAGTGGGCTGGCGGGGGGTGGGGGGGGACCGATGTCAACCAAAGCTGTGACAGATAGAAAAGAAGATGGTGCAGTAGAAGAAAGGAGGAGGAGGAGGAGGAGGAAGAGGATGGCTGTGGGGGTCCTTGGTGCTCTCTGAGCTTGGTTGTTTCCTTGCAGACGTTTCATGACCCAACTAGGGAACATTATCAGTGCTAGAAGAGAGTAAGGTTTGCAGAGGGAGGAGGAGGAGGACTGTGGGATCCTTGGTGCTCTCTGAGCTTGGTTGTTTTCTTGCAGACGTTTCATGACCCAACTTGGGAACATCATCAGTGCTAGAAGGCAGTTAGATTTGCAGAGGGAGAAGGAGGAAGAGGAGGAGGAGGAGAGGAGGAGGAAGAGGAGGAGGACGAGGAGGAGGACGACTATGGGGTCATGAGGCTTTCTGAGCTTGGCTGTTTTCCTACAGACGCTTCATTACCCAAGTAGGTAACATCATCAGTGCTAGTAGGAAGCGGGGTGTGCTGATGATGGGTAACACCTGCAAGAAAACCCACCAACCGAGCTCAGGGAGCACCAGGGACCCTTCATTCCCCTTTTCTATCTGCTGTAGGGGAGGGTGGCAACTAATTTTAGGAGACTTGGGGTGATCTACAGCACCGCATTTTGGAAACCAAAACGATTGAGCATGTTTGAAAACCCTCCCCTCACCACTTTTTTCCCCTCTGTTTTGAACCTCTGCTTCTCACCTGTTGCGGCTCCTCCACTGGACCAGGAGCTGTGTCAAATTGAGTGAAAATTTATATTCTTTATATCTGGAGAGATAGCAAGGTTTGAATAGAATGGAATGGAATGGAATGGAATGGAATGGAATGGAATGGAATGGAATAGAATAGAATAGAATAGAATAGAATAGAATA